GGGGAGGGACCTGGCATGGCACCACTAGCACCACAGCCAGCGGCATGTCCCTCCAGGAGCACTAGGTTGCCCCCATGCGCCTTTCGTTTGCCCCTCCATGAGGACCACGAAGGGTGGCTCAGGAGCTGCTGCCTCTCATGTGCTGCTCTCTGCCTTTCTCACTCTGTGTCTCTTCCTGTTCCATCTCTTCTCCTTGTTTTTCCAGAAAAGAAAGTCCAGTTCCAGCGTTCAGTTAATGGTGAGTGTCCTTCGTCTTCCTCAATGCCGATATTGTTGGGCCTCTCCACGTGTTCCAGCTTCCCCCTTTTTTGGAAGTTACCTCGGGGTAGGGAAGAAGGGACATCGGGGTTGGAGGGAACATCCTCAAAGCCGTATCACCCACAAACCCCATTAACAGGGTTAGTGCAGGCACTTGCTGGCCACCGGCTGGTGGGAAGCCAGCCCTGGTTCTTGCTGATGGGTTCTCATGCCGTTTCTCCCAGTTCTCCTGACTCAGGTCTGCAGGCTGCATCGGTCCAAGGAGCCTTGGAGAAACACCTTCCATGCCTCTGCGGGGACTGTATGGTCATGGGACACCTTGCCAACCTACATCGGGGTATTATGGGTAATACATAAGCAAGGCTCTGCTGGGAAGAGCTAGCAGAGCCATTGCTCTAGCTCCGCTAGCAGAGTCGCCTTGATGGGGCTCCTGGAGAGAGACAGGGGGTCAGTACCCCCCTCCCCTCCAAATCTGTGTAGTGCTCAGCTGTTTCTTGAGAGAGCTGTGTCTCAGCCTTCGGTGGTCCATGTGGGTCTTGGAAGCACTCTGTTTTATCGTACATTTCTCTCCCTACCCTGCGGTCAGTGTGGTCTCTCTCACTCCTGCACAGTCCCCTCTTTCTCATCCCAGCTCCTCCTCGCTGTTTAATTTGTACATCTCTCTCTTTATCGTACAGTCAACATGGTGTCTTCCACCCCTGCACAGCCCCTCTCCCTGCCCCTCCTGCAACGCTTCTAGGAACCCACCGAACCCCCGTGGACCTGCCCCCATCTCTGTCCCCGCAGGCGTCGGTAGGAAAGGCAGCGCCGTTCCTACGAGACCCTCCACAGCCCAGCTCTTGTGCCCTTGGCTACAAGGAGTGGAGGTCAGGGAGGGCTCTGCCAGCGCTGCCCTAGAGCTGTGGTTGAGGACGGGTTGGACCTGCTGGCGTTTTCCTTGGTTTCTGTCCGTTGGCACAGTCGAGCGCTGTGGGCTCGGACTCGGGGGGCTGTCAAACACACGAGCTCTGTCTGGCGCGGGGAGAAGACCCTTCTCACCGTCCCGTCTCCTTTCTGTTCTTTGCTCAGGAATCGTCAGAGAGCACCAACACCACCATTGAGGATGAAGACACCAAAGGTACCGATGGGGGTCACCCGGGGAGGTGGACAGGCTGTTTCAGAGAGGTGCCCTGGGGTCGTTAGTCCAGCCACCCCTAATGAGATATTGGCTACAACATAGCCCACCTCTGGCAAGCTGCCTCGAGGCCATTCAGAAGTAGCTTTCACTCCTTAGGGGTGAAATGCCAACAGGGACACAGCCAGCACTGGTGATGTCACTGCTGGGTTGCCACCACAAGCATTCGGGACACTGCTGGTGAGGAGGAGGAGCTCCCCAAACCAGGGATGTTCCTTGAAAGCAAGCATGGAAACGTCAGAAATCTGCAGGGATAGCAGCCTGGCCACCTGCTCCTCCAAAATAAACGGCCCTTTGGGAAGAGCCTCTGGGGGAAATCCCTGCCTCCTGCCTGCCAGAGCCAGCTTTCTAAGAATAACCCAGGGAATAATTTATTGGTGCTAATTTGTAAAGTCTCTCAACGAAACGATCTCAGCAGAAAGTGAGATGGACTTTGGCCTGATGTAAGAGTTAACAGGATGTTTGTCCTCCTGGGGAACGGAGGCAGGTGGAGCTCGGGAAAGTCGTGGGGGTCCCTGTCCTCCTTTCTTAGTGACCCTGAGGAACATGCTCCCTCTCCTTTCATTAGCCGCCGTACAAACAAATAATGAAGTCAGGCATGACGCTGATTTGCATTTGAAGCAGAACCTCATTCATAAGGCCAGGGTCACCTCTGACAGCTGCTCCCGCAGCCCTGGGAACCAAACCCGCTCTCGCACCCTGGCCTCTTCCCAGCTGAGCTGGCAGCGCCCAGGGTCCCTGGCAGCAGCCGCACGGTGGGCGGGTCCCTCCCAGGGTCTCGCAGGGTCCCTCCTTGTGTCTCATGGGGCGGATGGCCCCGTCACCCACCTGTCCTGCCCCCCAGCTGAGACCCTCTCCTCCCATCTCAGAGGGAGCCGAGAGCATTCTTGGTCCAGCCTGCCCCGGCTGGCCTCTGCTCTGAGTTAGCAGGGGAGAAAGCCTCGGCTTGGCCAGGGCCCAGCCTGTGCCACCTGTTTGGGCCAAGGGCAGCTCGCCACTCAGCGATGAACTCTTTTGCTCTTTAGGAAAATACAGGATTTTTCAGTTTTGCCCTGACTTTGGAGATCTTTCCTCTCCAGGGATGAAGAGCCCTTCCCCACGTCTCTCTCCCATGTCCCTCTCCTGCTTTTTTCCCTGGACAGTTTCCAATGGCCCTTGACGTCCTGCGGTCTAACAACAAAAAATATCTTACCGATACTTCAACACCAGCACTTTTGTCTTGTTTTCTCCTTTTATTTTCCTTTTCTCTTTAAACCAACAGTACGGAAGCAAGAAATCATTAAAGTCACAGAGCAGCTGATTGAAGCAATAAGCAACGGCGACTTTGAGTCCTACACGTGAGTGTGCCCAGCGTGGGTTTGGGCAGGGACGGGGACTCAGCCTCCCACAGCAGGTGCTCTCACTGGGACAACACAGCCCAGGAGGTTTTACGACTGCCAGGGCAGGGTGACCAGGTAGACATGGTGATGGGACATGGAGACTATCCAAGAGAAGCAGGTGACATCATTTTCCAAACTTGGTGCTTCTCTCACACTAAACTGACGACATCTCTCTGGTCTCATTGTCATGGATGAGCCCGTTTTCTGGTTTGCAGAGAGATGAATAACTGCAAACATGATTTATGATAGAAGAGGGAACATTGCATCCATGGTGTCCATTATATCCAGATTGCCACAGACTGCTTGGAAGCATAACTGCTTTCTACTTCCTGAGCTGGTTCTCCTCAGAGTACGTTTCTTCTGTGTCCAAGGCCTATTTAATTAGCGACTTCTGAGCGAGTGCAGGTCTTCATCCCTGCCTTGGAGAATCACAGCAGGGATATTTTGATACAGAGCAGAGAATATGAGTTTTTCCCTGCTGTTTTTCTTTCTTACAAAGAAGACAGCAGTGTTTTGGGAGGTTTAATTGGAGATGGTGACTGATGGAGAATCCACCCTGCCTGGTTGGGGTCCTGACTGCAGTCGGTGGGCTGGAGGTGAGATGGGTGGGCTTCATGCAGAGTGCAGGGACAAGATTAGACTTCTGCTTGAATTGCTTACTGGTGCAGAGGCTCCTTGATCTCAGGCTGAGGGGGTCATCCTGAGCATGAGCTGCTTGGGTTTTGCAGACTCTGATGCCAGAAGCAGTGAGATCACCTCTCCCATTTCTTTCTCCTTCCCACCTCCCCAGGAAGATGTGCGACCCTGGCATGACTGCCTTTGAGCCTGAGGCTCTGGGCAATCTCGTGGAAGGACTGGATTTCCACCGATTCTACTTCGAAAACCGTAAGCAGCCCCCCTTGCCTCCCGAGGGACCCTTCCCACATCCCATGGGCTCAGCTGTGCCTTGACCTCCAGCAGCTTGCTGGAGAGAGGAGGGTAAGGGTGGTTTTGGGAGCATCTCTGGCTGACATGGAAGATCCCAGCAGGAGTTGAATCTAGCATGTTAGGTCAACTGGGGCTGGGCTGTATGCAGAGGAATTGTCTGGTTGGATGCTTTCTGGGTGGACCCATCCTGAACCCACACATGCAGCATTTACACAGCCCCTCCAAGCAGAGAACCTAACCCAAGCATCTCCCTTTCCTGCATCGCTGCTGCCCTGGGCAAGAGCCACCCAAACAAGTGCCTAAAGCCACTTGTACTCGTCCCCTCTCCAGTGTGGTCCCGGAACAGCAAGCCTGTGCACACAACGATCCTGAACCCCCACATCCACCTGATGGGAGATGAGTCTGCCTGCATCGCCTACATCCGCATCACGCAGTACGTGGATGCGGGAGGGATTCCCCGCACCGCCCAGTCCGAGGAGACTCGCATCTGGCACCGCCGGGATGGCAAATGGCAAATCGTCCACTTCCACAGATCTGGCGCACCTTCCGTCCTACCGCAGTAAGCCCTGTGAGATTCCAGGGACGGGGCAAGGGGGGCATGGAGGGAACGGTATGGGCTCACAGAGTGGGTGGGATCCCGTCCCGAGGATCTGCGGTGGGGAGGAGGTGGCTGATTGCCATGAGATGGCGATGGGGAGAGGGATGCTTTGCCAAAGGGATGGCTGGAGCAAACTCCCTCTTGGCCTGGTTTGTGTTTTGCAGCTGAAGCGCGGTCCTGCCCATGCGGGGTTTGTCACTGACTGACTACCAAGGGGAGACCTCCTCCGACATCTTCACCTACGGGACTTTGGCTCTTGGCTCTGCTGCTTGGTTCCCGCTGGAATAACCCCTCGCTTCTCACCGCACACACGCAACGGCCCGACCGGCGCCACGCAAGCATCCCATCGAACCCCCCACCCTGCCGGGGCCGTGGTGCTGGGCCCCCTTCCTCTGCATGAACCAAGAAAAGAGAAACCATGAACCTAAACCCGAGCATCTGGCTGGTGAGACGACATGTGCCGGGGTAAAGGTCTACCCCCTCGGCTACATGGTCGTGGGACATCCCACTGCCCGGCATGTCTCCTAAATTGGGCTCGGACTCATCATCCGCCTCCATCCCCATGTCTGCTGGGAGCCCCCCAAGGAAGGGCAGGATGGGGGGACAGTTTTGAGCCGCTCTGTGCCACAACCTCCCTGCGCACTGGTGGATTTTGCTTTGCTGCTATCGAGGTCCCCATCTGCCGCTGTGGCTCCCGCCTGCTCCCGACCTGAGCTCCCACTTCCCGGCAGCCTCGGCTGGGGAACCATGGTTTAAACCCTTTGCAAAGTCCATATTCCACGCACCTCCGGGCAAGGAGGGCAGTGTTTGGATGGGTGAGTAAATGCTGTTTATTTTCCCTTCCCAGGAGCGTAGGCTGGCTCCTTCCCAGGAGAGTGAGTAGGTTTGTGCCCGGGTGGTTGCCGTGCCAAGAGGGATGCTCTCCCTCCTTCCTCCCTTCTCCCCTTGGAGCAGGGACCAGCGAGGCTGGGAGAAGAGAGGAGGAGAAAGACGTCCGCTTCCTGGCACCGCTTCGGCACAGCCGGGAGCCAGGGCTCTCCCAGCCCTGCCCT